CCCCAAAACCCCAAAACCCCAAAACCCCAGATTGATAGAATATTGTACAATTTGAAAAGTGCAAATATATTTTGATTAATGAAATTGATGTTTTTAGTTAAAGAATATAATTCAAATAAATTATAATCTTGAAAATAAACAATAAAACCCATTAAACTCTTTCACTTTCATAAACAGACAAGAGCAACAGCATAAAATGAGTTAACCGCGCAGGGAACCAACAAGAAAATCAACTAACAGCTACAAGTAAAGTTAAGATAGGAGTATGGCAGATGAAAAAGACCAGATCTCCTCCAAAAAAACACCTCATGAATCTCTAAGATCAGGAAGAAGTGGACCTCCTGTGCACAGAGTGGGAAAGTAAACTCACTTCTTGCCTATAGTGAAGGAGACTAACGAGTCCAAGATCAAGAATTACTATGACAGCTTTATGCAAGATCACTTTCTCTACGATTCAAGCAACAAATTCGCTTCAAAAAAAATGAAACTTAGATTGCAAAAGATCTAACAGGAAATCGCTTAGACTTCTTAGTCGACCCGAGTATCTCCTATCAGGCAAAGTCTGAACGGGTCTCATAAAATAAACACAAGTCATGAAATCTAAGCTGAAATTGAAAAAGAGAGAATACTTAGTACGACTAAAATAAATTTGAATGATATCAGTACATTCTACATGATAGACAAAAATGATTTTGAAAGATCAACTAAGTTAGGCTAGATAGAGACACCCATAAATGAAAACATGCTAGACAAGCACAAGTTCCTATTAGATCCATAGAATCTGAAACAATTCTCAGTAGGCATAATCTAGAAGAAGATCTAAGACTTCCGCAAGATTAATACGATTAACTAGTATCAGCAGATGGAGAACTAGCTAAAGAGACAGTTTAGCGAGTCAACTGAGCAGCAAAGCCAATACAATGAGGATGATGACAAAATGTCTTATGTGGAGAAGCGAAAGACCATGATGCTAAACCCCATGAGAACAGGGGACATTACATTTACAGAGTTGCGATGCATTGACAAGATGAAGACTATGAAGAGATGGGAAGATGCTGAAAGTAAGTAATAAAATGCATTATTTCTCATGATTTGACTAAACGGTTATTAATATAGATATGGGATTATCAAGAGTGGATTCCCTGGTTGAAAGTGTCTACAACAGTGAAAAGAATGCAGTGTGGAGAAATTACAAGCCAGAGAGCAGGGACAGACTATTGCCTACGGAGGCATCAGATGAGGAGTTCGACATATTTGACAAGAGTGACACTGAAGATGAGACTGAGAATATTATAGATGATCCAGAATTCACTTTGGTAGCAACTGCTGAAAATCTTCAAGAAGAAATTAAGCTAAAGAAGAAGTAAGAAGAACTGGAGAAGAAAAAACAAGAGCTGATGATAAATGGAGGAAAGAACACTCCCAGAAACAAGAAGCACTTCTTTGCATCAAGTGTAAAAAATGGACTGACTCCTTATAACCTAGATAAAGTGGAAATAGGTGGAATGTATATAGCCTCGATAAAGGAACACGGACCACTTGCAGTGTTGCTTAAAAGTCGTGAGCAAGCCATGAGATCTAACAAAAAGCTAAAGAACAAGTATATTACAGAAATATTTAGATTCTACTGTAATGAACTGCAAATTGCTCCTGTCAAGTTTCTTAACTACTTCAGTGATGGAATCATACAGCTGCACAATTATAACATTTAACCAAATCTCTGCATTGCAATTGCTTCTACTTTACCTGTAATCTTAATTTCATAACTCCTCTCATTTATTAAATATACCGATGTAGTATCTGATTGATTTGGAAGGACTTAAGTTTAAAAATAATGGCATCAAGGACGAAGGAGCTGCTCTGCTTCTCAAGGCTTGCTCGCTCTGTCCTAAATTTAAGATATTTCACTTTGAAAAGAATGAGATCAATGATGAATTTGTCGAAGTTCTTACTGAACTTATGGAAGAGTCCTCAGAGTAAGTCATACTTAAATTTGAATATCTATAATAGTACCATCCAAGAATTGAGTTTATCAAGCTCAAAGAATGTTTCCAAAGTTATATCTAAGATATGTGAAGCACTGAGAGATGACTACAATCTTACATACCTTGATCTGTCTCATAACAACCTAGACGCTATTTCGACAAAGTACATTGGATATCTTGTAAGAACCACTTAAAATCTGCAGCATCTGAATCTATCATATTGTGCAATAAGAGGCCACTCAGCTAGAATACTGCTGAATTCACTGCTGCTTAACTAAACTATAAAGTATTTGAATCTTTGTTGGAACTCATTTTCATCTTCTGACTATGAGTTTGCCTCTAAACTTGCTAGAATCATATAAGTACATTAGAATCTGATTCATGTTGACATCACATGCACCCAGTTGAAAAGAGAGGAATGCATGTTCATAGCCTAATGCCTTAAAGACTCAAACTAGATTGTCAGCTGTCATCTGACTGGCAATCATGTAGACTACTATAGCAGAATATTCTTAAGAGCACATCTGAATGCTATAGTGTAGTTCCCAAATAAAAATAGCACTGTTATTCAAAACGTGGTATTAGCACATGATAGAGCTTAGATAGTTGGACTAAATCAAATAATCTAGTCTAACTTCATTATTCCCAAGATGCTGATGCCCTAGCCATAGCCATAGCAAGAGTCTCGTGGGGAATCTCAATTCAATTATGTCAAGGGTAGTCAGCAGCTAAAAGTAGGAACTCAGCATTCACAAAAAGATACTTCAGTTATTAACATCTCTTTCAACTTGAACTCTGAGACATCTGACTCAGAAAATGAGGAAAACAAGATACTGCCTAACGACCTGAAAGTATACCTAAGAGAAGACTAAAAGAGGATATATGACATGATCAACATGATAGATGTATATGGTAGAAAGCAAAAGAAGTTTGAGATGGTCGAGGAATTTAATACTAAGTTCAAGAAGAGCATCAATAATATCATGCTTGATGACGTGAACAATGCACTCAGAGCAAAGCTAGCAATAGAAGGCAGGGATAAAATGAATGAGTCTCAGCAAAGCAAGAAAGGGCGCATCAAGTCAGAGGAAACAGATTTCTAGAAAGCACTAAATGTGATATTTTAAGCCTATGATGATAAATTCCTGGCTAATCCTATGCAGGGATTTTTGAAGGATTTGATATTTGCAAGATATCTTGGTCAGGATGAAATTGATAATGGTCATTATTGGAGAGACTGCAATCAATGCTGGGTTTGTGAGAAATGGGACAAGGTCAAGGTCGAGTTTTAGTTCTCAGACTCAATCATTGATGCAGAGTTCTAAAAGATTTAGGACCTTTTATTAGTCTAGCAAGACAATATTGATAACAAAGAGCTGAATCCTATTTGGGAGGAACATCTGGAATCTCTGGATGACGAATACGAAGCTAAGCCACAACCCTTGGATAAACTTGATTCTTCAAAGCGTATTATTAAGGAGTTTAGTGGCAGCGGTCATCTGAATCATGAGACGCCAGGTCTTTCAAATAAGCAGCCCAGAAAGTCAAATATCATTGAATCTCCTTTAGTCACTCAGGAAAAAATGCAGATCTAAACCTAGGATGTGACTATGTCCAACTCAAATGACAATGAGCCACAGATATATGACTAGAACATAGTAAGGATAACTAAGGATGGAGCAGTTAACTTGCAGCTAGAGGACTTTAAGGGCAAGACGCTCTACAACTCAAACATTTTTCCAATCAAGTTAAATGTTGAAAAAATATAGAAGTAGATCATCCCCTTCAACAACATGAACAGTAATGATAGTCAAGTGCTATTGAATCAGGGCTGTGTGCCTTATAGACCATTTCAGAAGATTTAGCACTAAGCAAAAGAGACTCATGTGATTAAACTCCCAAATATCTATTCATCAAATGATAGATCAAAGGACGATTTAAGCTCAACAAGTCCAAACACTGGAGCTAATAACTCAAGATAGCCCAGCCGAGATAAAAGACAAAGAAATATCTCTGAGAAGCAAAACAGCACTTACCAAATCTCAAAAGCTCAAAAGCATGATGAATTCCTATAGAATGCAAGGCTGCAGTCACCTCAGCTTTCCAAAAAGACTCCTCGAGTCAGAACTAAAAACGAAATCCTCAAGATGAATGAAGAACTGGTCAGCAGCTATAAGAATCTGCCAGACACAGACGACGTCTTTTTAGTGGCTAGTTTCAATCACTGGTTCCCAGTCAAGATGGTAGTCAAAGCTAAGAAGAAAATCCTGATCATGGATGAGCAAGCCAAGAAGGAGAAGGTCATAAAGGACATGCAAAATATGCAGAAGGTCGAGATGCCTCAAAGCATTAAACGCAAACATGAAAAGTCTAAGTCCAGACTGGCTAAGCTGGAAGGAGGTCCAACGAGGGAAGTGTACAGAACTATTGAGAAGGATGAGGAGCTCAAGTACGAGAACTAGAAGATGAAGGTGGAGAGTCTGTTTCAGTACACCAACTTCCTGCCAAGCGGTAAGCACTTCTTCTACTTTATCAAGAAGGGCAAGTACTTTTGTCTCTCAGACAAGTACAACATCACCTAGTTCAAGAACACCAATCTCTACATGAACGAGATTATCATCAACAAAAGAGAGTGGATAATTTCAGATGTCTAACCAAGAGATAAGGATGGCAAGGGAGCTGCGAGCAAATTTGACAAGATGCGCTCTGTGTTTAGGAACTTCAGAGAAGACTCGGAGGAGACGCTAAGGAAGATGTTTGAGCTAGATTTCGCCTCGTCGAAGATTAGCAGGATTATCAAGAACAATGATGATGAACTGGGCTTAGTTAGAGAACTAATTTGGAATAACTATAATAAACTAAGACAGACATTCTTAACTTTGATTCTTACATCTGAATATCCCATCATTACCTGGAACGACTTCACTATATTCTGCAACAAGTGCAAGGTAGTAGACAAGATATGCAACTTATCAATCATAGACACAATATACATTGCTACTAATGTTTCTCTGAATAACAACTAGAACTCAGATCGTGATTTGAGTAGATTTGAATTCTTGGAGATCCTTCTACGACTTGCCAATGAGAAATACAAGAAGACAGGGGTGTTCAATTCATATGCCCCAGCTCTCTAGAAATTCCTGGAGGAAAATCTATATCCTAACATAGAGTGCACCGACCCTTGGGGGTTCAGAGAGACTCAGCTCTATACTACATTTGTGAACGAATTATTAGTAAGGAATGACATAGGCCTCAAGAAGCTATTCGGACTATACCAACATGGCCAGAAGAGGTTTATCAACTATAAGGATGCGATTGATCTCATTAATGTGAAAGCTGAATTGAGATTTCTGGATAAGCAGGTCATTAGGCAGTTTGGCTTATCAAAGATGTCACACATGGATGTGCTAAAAGACCCAAGTTTCCCTAATAGAATGAACTATATCGAATTTCTGGAGTTCATAGGCAGGATAGCATTTGAGATATTCAAGGATCACAGTGAGATGCAAAGCGAACCACTGCACATTAAGTACGATGCACTTCTGACAAAGTTGTTTAAGATAGTAAAGTTCTAAAAGCAGTTCACATACTTAGAGAGCAACAAATAGAATGTAGTCTATGAAGTAGTCCTAAATCCTTAATTGGCTTTGACTGGTGGACTCGAAAGGCAACCTTCTAATGAGAGATTCGACGGAGATAGAAACAGTGATGCCTACTCACTCCCAAGTGGGAGAGTTAACTACTGAGAAAATAAAATTGATATAAAATAATATCTAATTGATTTAACTGCTAATCTTGATTTCATAATTACTATGCCACATGGGGTTTTGGGGTTTTGGGGTTTTGGGG